GATCGCCCCCCGCGGTGCAGAGCCTCTCTTGCCGCAGCCCTGCAGCCTGACCCGACATCCGGCGCCGCCGCCCGCACCTCTCATCTTGAAGACCTGGAGGAGCGCTCCGCCTGGAAACTCCAGCCCGCCCGCGTCCTCCGACTGAAGGTGCTGCTTGCTGGAGGAGGCTGTGTGGCCGGCTGGGACCCGAGGCCCGCTGAGACCGAGGTGGCTTCTATTTATCAGCAAGGGACAGGGACAGGAATCCTCACAGTGCCAGCCTGAGGAAGGACTGAAAATAACCCAGGGAGCCGGTGGGTGCACGGAAAAGATCTGATGGTGAGTGGATGTGGTCACACAAGCCTTTAAATCCCAGCACTCTGGAGGCTGAGGCAGGAAGGTCGCAAATTCCAGCCCAACCTGGCCAATTTATTACTTTTTTTTTTTATGCCAGGGACCAACTCAGGTCCTTGTGTTTAAGAAGCAGGGGAGGCACCACTTAGCTAATTTCCCAGCCCTTATTTTGTTTTTCTTTTTGTTTTTGTTTTTCCGACAAGGTCCAGTTATATAGTTCAGGCTGGCCTTGAACTCACAGCAATCCTCTTGTCAGCCTAGCCAATTTATTGACTTAGTGAGGGCCTGTCTCAAAAAATAAGGATAGGCGTGGTGGCGCAGGCCTGTGATCTCAGCACTCAGGAGGCTGAGGCGGGAGGATCGCTGTGAGGTGGGAGTGTTAGAGACCGGGTCTCAAAAACACCCAAAGTAAATAAGTAGAGAAAGAGAATAAGAGTCGGGGATGTGGCTGAGTGGAGCTGAGTTCAATCCCCGGTACCATTAAAAGACAAAAGCCCCTGTCGCACTGCGCCTGTGCCCTTGACGCCACTTGTCTTTGGTGGGGGACAAAAGGGCAGTGGAAGGGGGGACAGGGAGAGGAGGCCTGTGGCCTAGCCCTGAAAGCAAGCCCTGCCTCGGAGCAAATCGTAAGCGCTCCTCCTGCAGCCAGTAATTAGAGCGGAATCTGAAGGTCACAGCCCGCTGAGGCCAGCGCTCTGCCTCGGTGCCTTGGTGCCTTGGTGTGCAGATGTGAGGCGATAAAGGCCGCGGGAGCAGAAGTTGCCTGATGCCGTTCTGGCCTACTTGGGGGACGCCCGGAAAGATCTCACAGATCTGAGACACTTGGGCTGTGTGGACACCTTACTTACTTGTTTTTTTCCTGGTACTGGGGATGGAACCCAGGGCCTTCTCAGGGAGCCACATCCCCACCCCTTTTACATTTTTTTGTAAG